TAACCACTCCGCAGTCCTTTCTCCTCCATTCTCCTCTTGGAATCTTGGGCACGCATGCACATGCGTCTAGCATGAGTTTAAGCCACCGGGTCCAGGACTCGAACCACAGTCGGCTACATGGGAGTCCAGCGACATAGCCTTTATGCTAACTGCTGGTCCAATGGGCACGATTTTCAAGTTGAGTTATTCATCTTTTATTGATATGATGGAGTTCTTTTTTTTTTTTTTTTTTTAAGAGTTATTTAGGGGCTGACAGATGGCATGGTAGTTAAGGGCACTGGATTCCCACATGGTGGACCTCTGGACCTGTTGACTTGCTTTCTCACTTTCCCGCTCTCTCTCACACTCTTTTCTCACGCCCCTCTCTGGTCAAATTAAAAAGAAAGAAAGTTAAATAATTCTTTTTTGGGGGGAGAAGTTTTTGCTATAGGGTACATGTCCTCGCCAGAAAGACAGACAGAGACATACATGAAAGCCGAGCAACTTAGCCATTACACCATCTGCTGATCCCTCAAATAATCCTTAAAAAAATTAAAAAGAATTATTTAATTCTGGGGCTGGCAGGTGGCATGGTGGTTAAGGACACTGGACTCCCACATGGCCAACTGTGGTTCAAGTCCTGGACCTGGTGGCTTGCTTTTCCACTTTCTCTCTCTCACTCTCTCTCACTCACTCACTTTGTCCCTCTGTGATCAAATTAAAATAAAGTTAAATAAAATAATTCTTTAAAAAAAGGAATTATTTAATTTTATTTATTATTGTTTTAATTCCCCTGATGGGGTGGGGGGAGTGAGAAAGTGAGCCACCAGGTCCAGGACTTGAACCATGGTCGACCATGTGGGAGTCCAGTGCCTTAACCACCATGCCATCTGCTGGTCCCTCATTAATTTATTTTAATTTGACCAGAGAGAGAAAGAAAGAAAGAAAGTGAAAAAGCAAGCCATCAGGTTCAGGACTCAAACCCTGGTTGGCCATGTGGGAGTGTCCAGTGCCTTAACCACCACGCCACCTGCTGGCCCCTACTTTTGTTTTTGTTTTTGTTTTTTAATTGCCAGAGAGTACACAGGCTCGCCCGAGAGACAGGCAAAGAGCGAGAGGGAAGAAGCATTTTCTCCCCTGTAGTAGGGCGTGGTCATACCATAACCCCTTCTCCTCTGTTTCCCATCCTGTCAGGATTTGGGGCACACACACACCCAACATGTTTTTCAAGCTGCCAGGACTAAGATTCAGACCATGGTCTAGCCAGTTCGCTATTGTTGGGCATCTTTGGAAGCTTCCAGTGTCTATGCTGCCCTCCATAGTTCTTCAGGGCAGGTTCACAGAGGTTGACTCAGGGAGCCAAAAGCAGCTGCGGCCGTGGCCTCTCGTGGGTCCTCTGGTGCCTTCATGACTCTACCTGGTGCTCCAGCTCAGCTTCTGCCCTTCTCTTTCCAGGCCCTCACTGCCCTGTCATCTTGGAGCCACTGCCACCCAGTGGCTTAGACAGTTTATTGAGTGGGGATCCAGGCAGTGGTGAGCTCTGCTAGCAGGCACGGGATCCGTCCTGGTAGGCTGGCCAGGCCTTTGTTTGTGGAGCTGGGGGTGCCGGCTGTCCTGAGGCCTCCTCTTGTCCCCACCCTCCAGCAGAAGCCATCTGATGCTTTCCTGGCCTGCGATGCAGTGCCCACCTGGGCATGGTGATGACTCACCAGCCAGGCAGTGACTCAGGCTTCATCTTAGTAGAGATGAGCCCCGTGGCCTGCCCCATCCCTCCCCAGCTGCACCTGCAGTGTGTGGAGGAGGTTCTCACCACTCTGATCCGAAGAAATGGTGTAGGCGTGTCTGGCAGCCAGAGCCTTCCCACTAGCCTGTTCCAGGCTGAGCCCGGCATGTGTAGCACGCAGGATCGGTTGTCCCCGCAGCTTCCAGGGGGACGCCCCTTCCCGTGGGAATGGCCAGTTCTCAACCCCTCACAGACACAGCTTCATGCACTAAAATGTAGGTGATGGCTACACATGCCTGGTGGGGTCAGGCACAGGCTCACATGTGCTCACGGAGCGGCCCAGTCCCAGGCACCTAGGACACGGCAGGGAACCTGCTACAGGGTGCCCAGTGCAGGGCACAAGTGCACAAGGTGGGCCCCACCTCCTGCTGAGGGCTGCGCTGCACCTGGGCGGGGGTGCCATTGCTGTCTTCAGGACTTCAGGAAGCCCACTCTCCCCTCCCGCCCCCAGATGTGGCCTGTCTGTGAGCCCGTTAGCCGCAGCCTGGGTCACAGAACTGCAAAGAGTTCAGGGAGGCAGGGTGTCTAGGGGCTATCCTGTCCAGCCCCCCAACCCTCTGCAGTTCCCTGAACCCCTCCACCTGTCACTATTTTAAAACACTTTCAGCAAAATATTGTGGAGTACCAAGGCAGGAACAAGACAACACAGTCCTTTTTTTTTTTTTTTTTAAGAATTATTTTTAAGGGACTGGCAGGTAGCATGGTGGTTAAAGTGCTGGACTCCCACACAGCTGACCACAATTTGAGTCCCAGACCTGGCGGCTTGCTTTCTCAACAGCCCTTTGTCTTTCTCACTCTCTCTGGTCAAATTTTTAAAAAAATAATTAATTCTTCAAAAGAAAAAAGAATTATTTTTATTTATTATTTTCCAGCTTGATCAGAGAGAGAGTTTTTAGAGAAAGCCAGCCGCCAGGTGCAGGACTTGACCTCAGGGTGCTACCTCCTAGTGGGGCTCCGTGGGCAGCAAGCAGAACAGCCCTGCGTGGTGATTGCCCGACATCTGAGCATGTGATGAAAATGCCACCGGGTGATGGGGGGCACTCGGACGTGTTAAAGTACTGGGGGGTTCTCCAGGGACGACCTTGCTGTCGGAGTGTGGAGCTTATTGCCAGTGAGAAAGAGTCCACGTGTGATCGGAGCCACATGGTCCCAAGGGTGGCCCGAGGCTGGTGATTGCAATGCCAGGGAAAGGGAGAAGGGCCAGACCAGGTGGTGAGGGGTGCCAGAGGGAGTTTGGACTTTAGTCCAAATACAGAGTCCAGGTGACTGAAACCTTTCAAACATTTCCCTGAAGCAGGACCCACCTTGACGGAGACACTGCTTGGGACTGGTTGGGGGGTCTGGCCCCTGGAGGACGGGCCCCAGCAGAGGCAGCTGTTCCCTTCTGCGAGGGAAGATGTCTTGGTTGGGGTCCAGACTAGAGGGAAAGTCCTTTGCTTGTTTCCAGAGAAGCAGGGGAGTAGGCGGGGCTGTGACCCTGTCTCTTGATTGGTCACTTTGGGCTCATCTGGTGTATTATGCAAATGAGCTGAGCGTGCTTCATCCTGCTGAGCCGGAACCTAAGGATAAGGGGTACTGTGATGGCAGGAAGCAGAGTCAGGATGCACAGGAGTTGTGGTTCCACATGGAGTACCCAGCGCTAAGCAAGACAGCACCTGTTCCCAAGGCGAGAGGTCATTAAGCCAAGGCTGGACCTGAGAGAGTGGGAGCAGTTTCTGGCCACACTCCTGAGCACATGGGTTCTTTATCCTGAACCACTGCTTCTCACTCTGGCCCGTCTGATTCCCCTAGAATGCTAATAACAGTAACAGAAAGGTCTTTAAGGTGCTCTGATCTGGGGCCAACAGGTGGATGGTGGCTTGAAAATTACGCCGGGCATGTGTGTGTGTGCCTGAGAGAGTGGAGAAGGGACTGGCACGGCCACCCCCCAGACAGTTATCCTCACTTTCCCTCTGTCTCTCTCGTTCTCTTCTGGGGAGCGCACATGCAAAAAAAGAAAAGAAGCCAGACTTTAGCGTGGTTTAGGCAGCCAGATCGCACATGGCTGACTGCATGGTTCAAGTCCAAGACCTGGCAGCTTATGAAATATGCTTGGGGGACCAGCAGTTGGCGTAATGGCTATGTCTCTGGACTCCCATGTAGTCGACCGCGGTTCAAGTCCCGGACCCAGTGGCTTAAACTCACGCCGGGCACTTGTGCGTGCGTGCCCAAGGTCCTGAGGGGAGAATGGAGGAGAAGGGATTGCGGTGTGGCCATCCCCCCTTGGGGGGGGGGTGATTTCTAGCTTTCTGTCTCTGTCTGTCTCTTGTCTTTCTGGTGAACGCACATAGCAAAAACCTCTCCCCTCCCAAAAAAAAAATATGCTTGGCATGTGTACATTCGTGCCCAAAATCCCAACAGGAGGGACATATGAAGGGGTTGTGGCATGACCAGTCCCCACTGGGGGACCTTTCTCATTTTCCCTCTCTGTCTCTCCTGCACATGCCGTCTGGCAACTTTTTTTTTTTGAGAGATTTTTGCTATAGGGTACATGTGCTCACTGGAGAAAGCAAGAAATCATCCCCCAGGGGGGATGGCCACACCACAGTCCCTTCTCCCCCATTCTCTTCTTGGGATTTTGGGCATGTATGCACATGTGTCCGGCATGAGTTTTTTTGTTTTGTTTTGTTTTCCTTCTTTTTTGTAGAGGTTTTTGCTATAGGGCGCGTGTGCTCGCCAGACAGACGAGACAGAAAGCAAGAAATCACACCCCCCCCCCGGGGCCTCAGGACCTTGGGCACGCACGCACAAGTGCCCGGCGTGAGTTTAAGCCACTGGGTCCAGGACTCGAACCACAGTAGACTACATGGGAGTCTAGCAACATAGCCATTATGCTAACTGCTGGTCCCCCCGGCATGAGTTTCAAGCCACCAGGTCTGGGACTCATGCTGTGGTTGATTACTTGGGAGTCCAGCGACATAACCATTACACCATCTGCTGGTCCCATCTGGCAATATTTTTTAAAGAAAAAGCATACCAGCCATTTGGACTGGCTGAACCAAGAGGGAAAAGGATTTGTCCCCACTTCGGAAGACTGGGCTGTGGCAGGGGTGGGAGCCAGGCAGTTTCCTTCTCTCTCCTCGAGGGAAGGGCGCAAGGCCAAACTGGACTTGGGATCCCTGTGCCTGGGCCCTTCCCAGCTGGGAGGGGAAGTGGGGGGAAGCCCGGGGCGGGGCATGGACTGTTCGTTCTTCCCCAGGAGGTCTCTGCAACCTATGCCCAGACAGGGCCAACAAGGAGCACATCCTGCAGGCAGGGGGCGTCCCACTCATCACCAGCTGCCTGTCCAGCCCCAACGAGGAGACTGTGCTGTCTGCTGTCACCACGCTCATGTACCTGAGCTCACCAGGCCCCGGCGCCCGCCCCGAGCTGAGCACTGAGCCCGTGGTGCAGTGCATGCTGCGCTTCTCCCTCTCGGCCAACGCCAGGCTCCGGAACCTGGCCCAGATCTTCCTGGAGGACTTCTGCACCCCCAGCCAGGTGGCCGAAGCCCGCGGCAGGCAGGCCCACTCTGCGCTGGGCATCCCACTGCCAAGGACAGAGGCCCCGCCACGGCCCTAGCACCCTTACTGCCAGAGACCACTGTCACGGTGGGGCACGGGGAGCAGGGGGCACGCACTGCCAGGTGGCGCCGGAGCAGCCGCTTGAAAGGCGTTTTCCAGCATGACAGGTATTTCCACCGTGACGGAAGGCACTGGAATGAAGCAGCCAGACCCTGAGGCACATAGAGGACATCAAAGCTGGCACTGCCACTCTCCCAGGCTGGCACTCAGGTTCCACCTGCAGCGCCAGCCCAGCCAGGCTCACTCCCCTGTGCAAGACACCGGTTCCTTGGATCCAGACTTCACATGGCATTCTCGTGAGCAGCAGCTGGGCCTAGGCTTAGGAGGGTTGCCCGTCTGAAGGAAATAAGGGCTTCCTTACTCCTTCCCAGAAGGGTATGGAGTGTCGGGCGAGCTGGAAACCACAAACCTGGTGGTCAGAGGCTCTGGGGCCCTGGGGTGCAGGGCAGGCGTCCTGGTTCTGGAGGCTGGCTCTCTCCCGCTCACGCTCTCCAGGCAGGGCACTCACTGACCACCTGGGCAACTCTGCGGCCCAGGTTTTACCGTCCACTAGGTTTCATGGAAGGGACACAGATGAAGACATGGCCTCTGCTTTGAGCGATCCAGATCAGTACCTGCTAATGTGGCCATCAGGGACTGAGACCAAAACCAGGTGGCTGGTGACACCTCAGAGCTGGAGCTGCCTCTTCTCCCACCACCCAGTAGTTTGTGGGGGGGCCCTACCCTAGAGTGCTCAGGCTCACTAGGGCATCAGGATACAAGTGTAAGATGCTCAGGGGGCAACATATGCTGGCAGTGTGGCCCAGTGTTCTGTGCATCTGCAGGTGTGCTTGTGAAGAGGAACAGTACCCAGTGAGAAGCTGGGGTTCAGGGAAAGGGGAGGGTGTGGACATGGGCAGAATGTGGGGCCACTGGATTAAGGGGAGAGGGGGGGAATGCCTCCATCAGCCCCTGTCCAGCTCTCCCCATGCAAGGCACCTTTTTCTTTCCCAAATAAAGTCTCAAAAGATCAGAGAGCCATGGTTGTTTATTAAGAGGGTCCTGACCCAGCTGCTGCCAGACTTCATGCCAGCCAGGAGCCATCGGGAAGTCCCAGGAGCCTGGGCGCCAGAGAGTACAGAGGACAGTGTCTCTCTTCTCCATGTGGCCAAGGCCACTGCCATGCTGCTGCGGCTCAGGGGCTCTGCGCAGATCCCCTGCCGGCCTGCCACCTTCCCTTCATGCAGCTTCGCCCTGCAGGGCCCACTCACTCCCGGGCCGCCGCTGGCCGCTTGCTGTCTATGATCTCCCTCCAGTTGTCGCTCCAGGAGAGCAGCCGTCTCCGCGGCGGGAGCAGGGCCAGGTGCTGATTGTGACAGCAGGTGAACAGGAGGTGCTCCCACCTTGGGGTCTGCTCCTGGCCTAGGGCAGGAAAGGTGCTGATGCGGATGCGTCAATCTGGTTATTTTCACTCCCTCTCCCTAATCCGGACTAGCCAGATGCCTGGAGGTTGCCAAGAATAACGTGTCCAACCTCGAATGGTGTCCTTGTCGTCAATGAGCAGGTCCCCCAAGACCACCGTCTTGTCCCTCGTCAGGATAATGCGTTCCACAAACTCGGGTCCCAGGTGCTGCTCCACCCAGCGGTACTGCGAGACACAAGTCGGTCAGCAGGGCCAGGCCGGCCGCGAGTTCAGGGGCAGCGAGCCACAGGGGTGAGTGCCTCCAGTCGCCGCGGGGCCG